TAGGGAAAGTTACTTAAACGCTCTTACCTTCAGTTTCTTTAAGTATAAAATAAAAACAAATAGTGAGATGCTCTGTGTAAAATACAAGGCAATCTCTAATACATAGCTTGCACTCCAACAAAGGCACCCTTTACCAAGGTCTGCTAAGAAACAATGTGGAGCAAGGTTGTGGGTTTGAATCTATAACACTTCACACAGATAAGGGGAAGGGTTTCTAGCAGCTCTGGGGAAAGGGCCTCCTGTCACATAGAAAAATCATTGTCATGGCTTTTCTTTTCTTGGTGCTTTTGCATGGTTGACCTGAGTAGAAAAGAAAATATTTAATAATTTTGGAAGCACTATAAATGATCAAAAATGAGATATGCTTTTATTTTTAAAAAATATGTGTGAATATATTTAAAAAAAATTCTAAACAAAAAGGTTTTATTGTATAGATCTTTCTTTATAATAGCAAATAAAACAGAGCCAAAAATCAAAACAAACAGAAAAACCCCTGAGAAAAAACAAAACAAAACAAAACCCCCACATCTCAGAAAAAAGGAAGAATCTTGTTTATTTTTTAAAATGATCACGTGCATGACCTATAAATTGTGCTTATTAATAATAATCATTCCTTATGTTCATCCACTTTTTAGTTTACAAAGCACTTTTGCATGCAAAGTAGTGCTCAATAGTGCTTGCTGAACTGTTAAATAGAGGAACCAGGGCAGGAATATAAAAACATCAGATTCAAAATAGAGACATGACCAAATGAAGATGTTTTCCCTTGGCTGGGGATTGAGGTAGAACATTTATATATCGATTCTTCTAGGCCAGTTGCTCAGGTTTTCCCCAGGAGAGGCCATGCCTCTCTGGACATTTCATATTGTTTGTAAACATAATACAATTAATCTACCAATCTGCAACCTCTCAACCCTCCTGAGCCATGTGTAGAGACAAAGCTGTTGAGAAATTTTCAGAAAACTGCTATGGCTCAATGCATATTTTATTGACTTCTGGAACATGGCCAGAATTCCTGTATTCCTGATCTGGCCATAGACAAGTCTGGGAACTCAGCTGAATGATACAACAACTAGTTTCATTTACTCACTATGGGGTTTCATTCGCCTCTTGTAAGCTCTTACGGTTTATTCTGTTTGCATTTCTTTTCTCTGCAAAGCTTATACGTCATTCAAGATCTTTTTCTCACAAAATCCTCTGGTGTTCATTGACTGAAACTGTCAAGTGTGTATTGTTATTGTGACGCATAGTTTCACAGTTGGATGTGTGACTTGTTAGAAGTCTTTTAACGTTAGATTTCTCCAAACGCATTTCCAAATTTCGTGGATTTCATTGAAATGCTAAGGCAAAGCCCATTGCAAATAATCCATTTTCTTGTGGTTCAAATGGCTATTGACTCTGGTTGTTGATCATTAGTAAATGTGCTTAGCAGTATTTTTCAGAATGATCTTGATATCTCCAGAGGAGGGCCTACCACTGAGACTAACAACCCTCAGTGGTTAGCCTTATAACCTCATTTGACCATTATAGTTGAATTGGTACATGATTAAGTGGAACGAATAGGAAGAATATTCAACTAGGCACCTGGATAACTGAATGCTACTTATACCCTTTCCACTCCAGAACTGAGCGTGCTCTGGCAAATCAGTTAACCTCTCTGGGATTTGACTACTGCATCTCAACACTAAATAGGAAAATTCTAGATAAATGTACATATGTTTAACATTGTTATTTCTAATGTCATATATTCTAGGTGTATTTGTTTTTAGCAATTTATAATAGACCTGTAACGATTTCTACACCACTGCAATAGAAACCAATGGAAAAACAGAGAAGAATGGTAGGTTATAGAGCATGAGTTTATATTCCAGAGTAAATATTCTTATTATCACCTACTTGATTCGTTGTGGAAAAACCAGAAGTTGGAAGTGAAACAGCACTAAGAGAAATAAGAGAACTTCAAAACCTTCATTACATTGGCAGGAACAGAGGAGACAGGGCTCTAATCTTCAGCCCCATCCACTGGGTTTACATTCTTTTTATAGGGCCAGTTGACAAGGGAGGCTGGGGTAGGCTCAACTGAGCAAACTTTGGGTAAGAGCTGGTTGCTATGCAGAAGCAAGGCATAAGGAGCTGCTTGGTTAGATAAGGGAAGGGTTTCTAGCAACTCTGGGGAAAGGGCCTCCTGTCCAGGGCTGGGAAGTGCCTCCTGTTTGGGACTGATAGCTGCAAGGCTGGTGGCTGCCCAGAAAGTGGTGTTTACTTTTTCGACCTTATTCCCCCCTCTTGAGCTTCCTCAACTTACTTGTTTAGGAGGATCAATTAACAGGCAGGCGATAAATAAGTACAGCTCCTGGCAGAGGACACAAGCATCTGATTGAGGCAATGCAAGCAGTTAAAAGAAGCAGAACAGAATTTGGTTATTATAATTGATCTGGGAACATTCAGGAGAGTCAATGTGTGTTTTTCCAGGGACATACACCCTCAATCTTCTGCTGTGCATAGATTGGTCAGCTTCCAGAATGACCAAAGCAGGACTGTAGTCCTCTCAGGTCTCTAGGATCATGGCTTGCTTTCTCCAGATGGTCAAACCTAGTCTGCAAGGTAAAGGCTGGCCAACCATGAAAGGCCAGATAGAGGCAAAAGAAGGCATCCTGCTAACAATGAGCCACAATGGTTGTGATTTGCCTATTGTAAAGATACTATGCCAGGGACAGGAGGTATGAAGAGTCCTGTTATTAAATAGGCCAAAATGATATGTCAGTGTTTGTGGGCATGACTCAATCCAGGTCCTATAGAAGAGATTTTAAAAATAGAAAAAAACAGTCAGACTTCTGTCCTCATTTCCCCTGTTAGCCAAATATTATTTCTCTGAATGCATGTGTTGCTCAATGCATGTGTTGCTCAATCCTAGGAGTCAAGTCCCACAGAGCTAGGAAGGAGTAGTCAATCAATTATCCATTGGTATAGACAGTAGAGTCCTTGGGGAGGACATTTCTGAGTGGTTCTATATGCTGTTTATCTTTGGGCAGGGAAAAGAGTCACACCTTAAAGTTTGGAGGAGATATATGCCATGGGCTATCTGATTTTTTTTTTTATCTTTATGTATCTGGCACAGTATTTACAGATAATCTACAATAAAGATGTACAAATAAATATTATATTGTAAACAGAGTTAAGGACATTAAACAGCCTATCCAACCAAAGAAACCTTCACATGTATTATTATTTTTTAATCAGATTTATATGTTTATTTTATTAGTCATTACTATATTTAGACTGTGCTTGAGCACCAAGTACCGTGGTCTATTTTTTTAAGAATTATTTTACTTAACTTATTCACTTATTTAATTGGTCCAAAGAGAGAGGGAGGGAGCGAGGGAAGGAGGGAGGGAGGGAGAAAGCGAGAAAGCAAACTGCCAGGTCCAGGACTCAAACCATGGTCATCCATGTGGGAGTGTAGTACCCCTAGCCACCATGTCACCTGCCAGCCCCTGTGGTCTATTATTTTATGGCCACCTTAGATATCATCTGTCATATATAAATTCTTTTATAAAATCCTAACATTTTTTTTTTCTTTTCCCCATCTTATGAAATCTGATGCCTCTGGCAAGGCCATCTAGCTTGTAACTCTGTATGTAGGACTTTACATCAGTTTACAGGTAAACGACCTTCTTTAACAAATTTCCCAATATAAAACAAAACAGTCCTACTGATAACAGTTTAAGACTGTAGTCATTTGAAGAACCTCTCCTAGAAAGGCATCAAACAAAACAACCATGAACAAAATGTCCCAAGCACTCTTAGAATGAAAAAGGGTCAACTCAGTGTCTGTAGGCACGAAACAGAATTGCTAGGTTGTAATTAGGGCTACAAGATCACCACAGGCTGTACATATGTTTTTAAGTTTTAAGCATGCCCCATTAGGTTATTTTATTTTGATTCCTATGAGAGATTTTTACAATTTATGACATGGGTATACCCATTAGAAACATTGATCTCATTGGTCCCTGCCATGTTTTCTTTGATAAGAGAAATGGGTATGGTAAACTAAGGTCTTGGTGACACCTTGGCCCTGTCAGGTGGTGTGGGTACTCGCCCCTAAACGGCAGGCCCAGATTAGAAGTTCCCAATAGTAATAAAACATCCCTTCCACAAAAGAAATACAAACACTAGTAAAACATTTTTTTTCCCCTGAGGTGTTGTCTATTTGGGTTGGAGGGATAAGGTCAGACTCTTCAGGGGCTGACTGTAAAACCACTGACTTCTGACCCCCTTGTTTGCCAAGAGGCTGTAGACCCCACTATTTGGATGTGATTTTCTGTCTTTAAGGAACAGTTTCATTCACAAGAGCCAGCCATTGATCGATATATGGGAAATAACCCAAATGCCCCTGACTGCTGCTCAAGATGCCTATGATGAACTTCCAAACTGCATGCACTTGCCCAGGGTCCAGTGACCCAGTGGTTGGTCATCCTACTCTGAAGGTGGGCCATTCTATTTCACAAAGCATCTTCAGCTTATTCCTCAATAACTTTGTTCCATGGTCCTCTCCTCCCTCAAAGGCTTCCCTAAAATGCTTAAGCATACATTTCAATGGGGTTTTAATAGAAGTAGTTTGACCACCCTTGGTAACTTCTGGACTCGGGAAGGCAGTTACTGTTTCTGAGTGTTTGTCTGCTCCTTGCTGTTATTTCAGCCTGGAGATTTGCTCAGCCCTGCCTGGGCTGTTGCTGCTGCCTAAAGCTGCTTGCTGAGTGTGGTGGTGCAAGCAGAGCTGAGCAGAGCAAGGGAGCCAGTGGAACAAGTGCAGCTGTGAGCCCCATGAGCTCCAGTGTGCTCTGCCCACCATACCACGTGCTCCAGGCAAGTCATGTTGGGCTTCTTGAAAGTCAAAAACACCCACAGTGCAGTGAAAACCTCTATGCTTTCCAAGTAAATGGAAGCCAAGAGGAATTTCTGGAACCAACTCTAGTCACTAGGGGCTAGTGATATTAGTTCCAGGGTAAACAAAAGGGCTAGTACAATGGGAAGCATAATGACAAGGGGCTCAGAGCATACAGCCCCACAGGCCTTGGGTATAACCTCCAAGATCACCTGGGGGCTTGTCTGATCTGTCAGTCTGGAAGAAGGGCTAAGAGGGAGAATTATGTGTGTGGGGGGTGGGTGTATGCAGTAAAACTGCCACCACAAAGATCTCCAACTGTCAAAGGCTTTTAACTCCCAGGCAGCACAGCCTACAGCAGGACTGATGAGACTGCTGATATTGAAGTCAAAAAAAGTTCAGAGGCCAGACTGGACTGTCAGGGTTTTTAGCCTTAATGTTTCTCTATGGGAGTTGCCTTGGAATTGTCTTTCTTGCATGCTTTTGGAAATGGTTAAAAATATACCACTCTAGCTTCAGATCTCTAAAGCAGTGTTACTGTTCTCCAGTGGAAGCACAGAGATATTTAGGTTGAAGTGGGAGTTGGTGTTTGGGACCCAACCTAGAGAGGGGAAGATTTTCTAAACAGTCCAACCAAGAGTGCCGAAGAAACAACACAGATAATTCTAGCTACATCTTGGTGGAATCTGAGTTGAAACTTCAATTGTGTCCAGTTGGCCCTGGGCCAGCATTGTATTCTCCAAACAACCGGTAATTAGAAGGAGTAAAGGGAAACAGAGGAGAGAAGAAAAGAGACTCCAGAGGTTTCCTCAGGCCTCTGAGGAGACGGTGACTTGAGCAGTTGTTGGGAGGAACTCCTGTCTGAGTTGTCAGGGACAGAAGGGCATGCCTAATATAGGCTAAGGAGCTCCCCACCCCCAATCCTATAACTCTCCTGGGTGTGGTGATGCAACAGACAAGGGATGGGAGTCCCCTCTCATGAGAAGGCCATTCAGATATCCCCTTGGCCTTGCCCCTCATGGGGACCTTAGGGAGCCTCTTAGCTTTAGTAACAAGCTATAAACCCACCTTTGGATTTGGATTGAACCCACAGGGAGGGTCAGTGACACCCCCCCCCCCAGCATTGATTTTACCTTCTGGCTGTATGAGACCTCCATAAAACCGCAAGTTTGGACCCACTCAGACTCCATAGCGGAAGCTGTGAAGCTACAAAAGCATTCACTCACCACTCCAAAGTTATACATTCACTCCAAAGTTATACGTTCCTTCCCACTAAGGGAATCTTCTCTGATTGTCTTGGGTCAGAGGCACCTGGGGATGGGGGATCAATCCTCCCCATTTATCTGGTGACTGTAAGAGAGTGATTAGCTCTCCTCTTCTACCCTTCTGAGTAGGCCTGACTAGGGTACATAGACACACAGAGTCCCCAAGAACTTACCAGATTCTAGATGTCACCAGAATGTCCCAGATGAATTTGGTCCTTCTCTCCCAGGAGTCTGTGTGACTATGAGGCAGTTCCTTGGGCAGCTGCCTTGAGCAAGAGACAGAAACAGCTAGGTGGTGTTCCTTTCTCTGTCAGGGCAGCCACACCAGGAAAAGTGACTCCTTGGCCACCAGTGGCTCAATGGGCCAGCCTTGTTTTGCTTTCTGGCCAATGCACCAAAATTGTTGCAGAAAAACGAGAAGTTGGAAGTGAAACAGCACTTGGAGAAATAGAACTTTGCAACATTTATTACATTGGTGGGCATGGAAGATCTGGTTCTCTAATCTCTGGCCATGTCCACTGAGTTTACATTCTTTTTTATATGGACAATTGACGGAGGGGCCTGGGCTAGGCTCAATTGAGCAAGCCTTGGGAAAGAGCTGGTTGCTATGCAGAAGCAAGGCATGGGGGTTGCTTGGTTAGATAAGGGAAAGGGTTTCTAGCAGCTCTGGGGAAAGGGCCTCCTGCCAAGGGCTGTGAAGTGCCTCTTGTTTGGGACTGATAGCTGCAAGGCTTATGGCCACCAAAAAAGTGTTTTTTACTTTTTCTACTTCAGATTAAAGCACCTAGGGCCCAGCCGAGTGGCATAGTTGATAATACACGGAACTTCAGTGCTGGAAGCCACATGGCC